GTCGACGAGCTTCGTGGCAAGTTTCGAGGGGATGATGGTGTTAAATGCCGAGCTGTGTATGTGTGCACATGTGTGCATGTGTGTGTATGTATATGCATGTGCGAGAATGTGTGTGTGTTTGTGTTTGGAGGTGCGCTTGTGTGTCCTCCTGCCCACAAAAGGGTCATAAAGGCAGGAAGTTTACTAACCAAAAAACACAACCTTAACATAGGATGTCCCTATAATGAAACACTATAGCCTCCCCCACCAACAAATTGGCTGGAGAGGTGGTCAGAGACAAAGGAATGTCTTTGATGCTGCTGCTTGAACTAAGACTTTCAAATTTAAGTAACGCAATGACAGTATTTAACATTTGACTCCAACATGGGTAACTATGAAGAAATATTTCTATTCTGTTTTGGAAAATATGGAATTCAGAGTTTCTAAACTTAGATTTATCAGACAAGAAGAGATTTTTTTTACGGCATTTCAAGCACAGCCAAAACGTTTACACCTATGTAATAGAACTCTTTCCTAGCATGCCTTCTTATAACTGTAGCCAATCCAGACATACACATTCATTTAACAAAACACAACATCTATTTATTTCATATGTCACAGATATTCACATATGAATTTGAAATTTGACCTTTGCTAATAAGAATGTTAGAACTAAACATTTGCATCAGTGCCTGAATAATTTGTCACATTTGTACACTTTAAATTTCAGTGGTACATGTGAGCAACATGCTCACTATGTAGAGACCTGCTAATGGTTCAGGCCAGTAAATATTTTCTCAAATGTTTGTTTTGCTATCATTTTTTCTCCTTTGTGCCTTCAGATGTTGTACAGCAGCATGCTTTTGAGGAAGAAGATGTTCTTACAGACCAGCAGGTCTGTAACCAGGAGAGGAACTCCATTCTGGACCAGAAGGACCCACAGCCTCCACAGATTAAAGAGGAACAGGAGGAAGTGTGCAGCAGTCAGGAGGGAGAGCAGTTTGGACTGAAGCTGGAGGCTGATACTTTCATGGTGACACCCACTTATGAGGAAAGTTCCCACAGTGAACCAGAACCAAAAAGTGAGCAGCTCCTTTCTCACAGCTTTTCTAGAGCAGAGAGCCGAGATTATGAAGAAAGCCAGCATGTGGACTCAGGATCTTCTAGAGGTACGGAGCTGAAGAACAGACGTCCAAGTAGAACGAACACAAAGAACAAGTCTATTCAATGTGATGTCTGTGGAAAAACTTTACCGGATAAATACAGAATGACTGCACATCTAAGAGTTCACACAGGTGAGAAACCGTATTCTTGTAGCACCTGTGGGAAAAGATCTTCTGACTCATCAGCGTTAAAAAAACACATGAGAATTCACACAGGTGAGAAACCATATTCTTGTAGCACCTGTGGGAAAAGATTTGCTGACCCATCAGCGTTCAAAAAACACACGAGAATTCACACAGGTGAGAAACCATATTCTTGTAGCACCTGTGGGAAAAGATTTACTGAC